ATTTTTTTAACAAATTAATTAAAAATGAAAAGCTGAAATGTCTTGAGTCAATAAGTAGCTAGCAGGTCTGTTTGATTGGTTACCAAGGCAACTATACTGTAGCTATATAGTAAACTTGCTAGCTACTTCAGTGGATGTTGAACACATACAGTACCAGTCAAAAGTTTGGACACACCTACTCATTCAAGGATTTTTCTTAATTTTAATATTATTTACATTGTAGAATAATAGTGAAGACATCAAAACGATGAAATAACTCATATGGAATCATGTATTAACCAAAAAAGTGTTAAACAAATCAAAATAAAGTCATATTTGAGATACTTCAAATAGCCACCCTTTGCCTGTCACGATCGTCGTAAGAACCGGACCAAGGCACAGCGTGATATGCGTACATTCTTTATTACTTATACACACACGAACAAAACAAACGATACGTGAAGTCCTAGGTATATAACACCAAAACAATCCCTCCGGAACAAGATCCCACAAATAACTAGTGCCAACAGGCTGCCTAAGTATGGTTCCCAATCAGAGACAACAAGCCACAGCTGCCTCTGATTGGGAACCACCCCGGCCAACATAGAAATACACGAACTAGAACATGAACATAGAAAATACAACATAGACACTACACACCCTGGCTCAACATTTAAGAGTCCCCAGAGCCAGGGCGTGACAGTACCCCCCCCCCCCCCCCCAAAGGCGCGGACTGCGACCGCGCCAACCAAACACAAGAGGGTAGGGGCCGGGTGGGCATTCCGCCTCGGAGGCGGATCCGGCTCCGGGCGTGACCACCACTCTCTCTCTACCCCCCCGTAGCGTCCCTGGTCTGGTCTGGCCCCGCTGGCCGGAGCTGGACTGGACATCGGTGGAGCGGATTGCTCTTGCTCCGGTGTGGAGCAGCTGACGACGCGCACCACTGGCTTGGTGCGGGGAATAGGAACAGGCCGGACCGGGCTGACGACACGCACCACTGGCTTGGTGCGGGGAGCAGGAACAGGCCGGACCGGGCTGGCGACGCGCACCACTGGCTTGGTGCGAGGGACAGGAACAGGCCGGGCTGGACTGGGAACACGCACCACAGGCTTGGTGCGGGGAGAAAGAACAGGCTGGGCCGGACTGTCGACGCGCACCACTGGTTTGGTGCGGGGAGCCGGAACGGGCCGGGCCGGACTGTGGATGCGGACTGGAGGTCTGGAGCGGAGAGCTGACACAACCCGTCCTGGCTGAATGCCTATCTCCACACAATATGTGTGAGGCATCAGCACAGGACGTACAGGGCTGTGCACTCGTACTGGCGCTACAGCACGTGGCACTGGCGCAGGATATACGGGACCGAGGAGGGGTACTGGAGGCCACGAGCGTTGAGCCGGCACACTCCGTCCTGGCTGCATGCCCACCTTAGCACGACACGTGCGTGGTGCTAGCACAGGACGTACAGGACTGTGCCGGAACACTCGCGGCACAGTACGTGGCTCCGCATAACACGGAGCCTGCCCAGTCTACACGCTCCCTAGCCTGAGTACGGGGAGTTGGCTCTGCTCTACCTCTAGGCTCCGCCAACCACCCCTTTAGCCCCCCCCAAAAAATTATTGGGGCTGTCTCTCGGGCTTCCTCCTCGGCCGGTACCCTCTGCGTTGCCGCTGCTCCTCTCTGTAGCGCGCCTCCACAGTCTCCTCCCAAGGACGGCGATCCATTCCGGCCTGAATCTCGTCCCAAGTCCAGGATCCCTTCCCGTCCAGGATCTCCTCCCAAGTCCAGGCGCAGCGTGATATGCGTACATTCTTTATTACTTGTTATCCCACAAATAACTAGTGCCAACAGGCTGCCTAAGTATGGTCCCCAATCAGAGACAACAAGCCACAGCTGCCTCTGATTGGGAACCACCCCGGCCAACATAGAAATACACGAACTAGAACATGAACATAGAAAATACAACATAGACACTACACACCCTTGAAAAGTCATAGTCAATCGATCAATAATATAATAATACTTTTAGCAAAAAAATATATTTTCAATTTACGATCTGTAGAAACAATGAGAATAGAACGGTTCAGAACTTTTGTAAATCATCACTATATATGGCAAATAGAAATCCAATATGGATGGTGTTAAGAGATAGATGGGAGGTGTTGAATGGAGCTGAAGGATGGGACTAATAACAACAACTAATAACAACAAGATAACTAATGTAAAGCATACTGTGTCCATAATAAGTATATAGGTTATAGGTTGAGAGCTTTTGTGAAAGAGCAGAGTTAGAAAAATATGGCATATAGAAGCAAACCAGATGGAGGAAGTTCAGGAGTAAAAACAAACAAAATATAATTATTGTAGAATTTGACTGTGTCCATAAAATGTTTATAGTATGTATCGGCTGGAAGTAGAGGCCTAAGTGTTGTTGTTCACTAGTTTACTCCAATTGGGGAAGGGGTGGTGGGGTTGGAAAGTAATGAAGGGAAATTTAATTTTAAAAAGGATATGTGTGTGTGTATGGATGGATGTATATATGTATGTATGTATGTATGTATGTATATATATGTGTGTGTATTTATGTGTATGTGTGTATGTGTGTATGTATGTATGTATATGTATGTATGTATGTATGTATGTATGTATGTATGTATGTATGTATGTATATATATATATATATATATATATATATATATATATATATATATATATATATATATATATTTGCGAGAGAAAAAAACATATGGGGGATTGGAAGTGATGCAGACAATTACATTGATGGAAGTTACAATCTATCTGAAATATGAACGCTGATCTACCCCCTAAAAAAATAAAAAATAACAGGTGTGCCTTCTTAAAAGTTAATTTGTGGAATTTCTTTCCATCTTAATGCGTTTGAGCCAATCAGTTGTGTTGTGACAAGGTAGGGGTGGCATACAGAAGAAAGCCCTATTTGGTAAAACACCAAGTCCATATTATGGCAAGAACAGCTCAAATAAGCAAAGTGATATGATGTTTTTATGGTATAAATAATAATAATAATAATATGCCATGTAGCAGACGCTTTTATCCAAAGCGACTTACAGTCATGCGTGCATACATTTTTGTGTATGGGTGGTCCCGGGGATCGAACCCACTACCTTGGCGTTACAAGCGCCGTGCTCTACCAGCTGAGCTACAGAGGACCACCACCGGTATAATGATGTCATGTCATAGTATCATGGGGAACAGGTTAGAGTTACTAGATAAAGGGGTTAGGAGACAGGAAGTCTACATTCCATTATGTCAAGGTAGATTAGTGATGTTTAGGATAGCATGAGTGATGTTTAGGATAGTGACTTGGGGTAAAGAGTTATGAACATCAAAGACAGGGAGTGCCCATGGAGACTTGCCAGATGTATGCCAGGAAGAGGGTAATAAAGGATATATAAGGTAGAGTGTCTTCTTTGTTCAAGTTAGTTCGTAACACCAAGGGGCAAAGCTCTGTCCATTGTGGTCATTGTTGTAACGAACCCGGTACCGACAATTCAACATTTGCATTAACTTTCTACAAAGTGTCTAAGTATATCCTTGCATCCTCACTTCTCAATACCAGAAACTCATCATAACACAAAGAGAAATGACAGTCCATCATTACTTTAAGACATGAAAGTCAGTCAATACGGAACATTTCAAGAACTTTGAAAGTTTCTTCAAGTGCAATCGCAAAAACCATCAAGCGCTATGATGAAACTGGCTCTCATGAGGACAGCCACAGGAAAGGAAGACCCAGAGTTACCTCTGCTGCAGAGGATAAGTTCATTAGAGTTATCAGCCTGAGAAATTGCAGACCAAATAAATGCTTCACAGAGTTCAAGTCACAGACCCAACATCAACTGTTCAGAGGGGACTGTGTGAATCAGGCCTTCATGGTCGAATTGCTGCAAAGAAGCCACTACTAAAGGACACCAATAATAAGAAGAGACCTGCTTTGGCCAAGAAACACAAGGAACGGACATTGGACCGATGGAAATTTGTCCTTTGGTCTGGAGTCCAAATTGGAGATTTTTGGTTCCAACCGCTGTGTCTTTGTGAGACGCGGTGTGGGTGAACGGATGATCTCCACATGTGTATTTCCCACCATAAAGCATGGAGGAGGAGGTGTTATGGTGTGGGGGTTCTTTGCTGGTGACACTGTCTGTGATTTACTTAGAATTCAAAGCACACTTAACTAGCACGGCTACCACAGCATTCTGCAGCGATATGCCATCCCATCTGGTTTGGGCTTAGTGGGACTATCATTTGGTTTTCAACAGGACAATGACCCAACACACCTCCAGGCTGTGTAAGGGCTATTTTACCAAGAATGAGAGTGATGGAGTGCTGCATCAGATGACCAGGCCTCCACAATCCCCCGACCTCAAACCAATTGAGATGGTTTGGGATGAGTCAGACGTCAGAGTGAAGGAAAAGCAGCCAACAAGTGCTCAGCATATGTGGGAACTCCTTCAAGACTGTTGGAAAAGCATTCCAGGTGAAGCTGGTTGAGAGAATGCCAAGCGTGTGCAAAGCTGTCATCAAGGCAAAGGGTGGCTATTTGAAGAATCTCAAATATAAAATATATTTTGATTTGTTTAACACTTATTTGGTTACTACATGATTCCATATGTGTTATTTCATAGTTTTGATGTCTTCACTATTAATCTACAATGTAGAAAATATTAAAAATACATAAAAACCCTTGAATGAGTAGGTGTGTCCAAACTTTTGACTGGTACTGTATCTACCGGCAAATGAACACATTTCTAGTAGCAAATGTGTTAAATTATACTAGTGGGATAAGCGGGATTATCAACTAGGGGCTCAATGCTTTCTCTGGAAATAATGCAACTCCGTTGAAGGTAAGTGCCACGCCGCTAGTTTAGTGCCACGTCATGAATTATTTTCAATAGAACGCATAACCCTCATTGATTATCCCTTACATATGCCAGATTGTATTGTGGTTAGTGTGGTCTAAATGAATCAGCCAGATCACCAGAAGCTTACTTGTTGGAAGCACATTGGACATTGGTCAGGACTGTGAAGTTGTTTCTTACACTTCGAAGGCTTGCGAGGACCTGGAGAGAAAGAGAACACATTCAGCCATTATGAATACCACACAGGACAGTACCTAGACACTGGGCTGGGTTTCTCAAAGTGGTCGCTAATGTAGGTGCGCTACAGTACAGATTGAGGAGAAGGACAGGTGTGGTGGGATTAGAATATAATTACCTGAGCAAAAGGCGTTACTATCAAGTCATCACCATGTCTGTAAACACAAGACATCATAAAGACATCATAAACATAATTAAGAAAGCATTTATAACAGTGTCACACACACATCAGTCCATTGTTTCAACACCAGGGGAAAGAACGTTACTTTAAACCACATCCAAGGAGGTAGTAAGACGAAAGTATGTGTCAGTTAGTTATGGGGCTCAGTCCCCAAAATTCACTTAGGTAACAGAGGAAGTAATGCGCCGATAAGGAGCATTTGTTCTATTGGAATGTAATGTTGTTAGGTCAAATACTAGATGTTCCTAGTTAAAGAACTTTCCACTTATTTCCACTGTTCTGTGTTTGGAGTCATAGGGACTTTAAGATATTTTTATCATCGGCTGAATCTCTGTCATTATATTTGGTCATTTCGGTTACCAATTAGCCTCTTTTGGAGCACTTTTTCCACTCATCACTATTAGTGGTAGTTGTTTCCATAGAAACGGATGTCATGTGACGTACCTCTGTACCAGGGGACATGGATCAAACACAATGGAACACACATCCAGATCACTTCATGGTGTGTGTGTGTGTGTGTGTGTGTGTGTGTGTGCGTGTGTTTGTGTGTGTGTGTGTGTGTGTGTGTGTGCATGTGTGTGTGTGTATGTGTGTGTGTGTGTGTGTATGTGTGTGTGTGTGTGTATGTGTGTGTGTGTGTGTGTATGTGTGTGTGAGTGTGTGCGTGCGTGCGGGAAAACGTACAGTTCGGATGCAATGGATGAGTTGCGGGACATGGACTTGGGCGAGAGGTCGTAGTCGCTGTCCGAGCGGTACAGAAAGGATTCTCTGCGCTGGTTGTGTCCAGGGAAGTTGGTGTGTAGAACCAGGCCTGACCCGGGAGAGGCCGAGGGGTCCAACGGACTACAACTGGCTGAAGGGCCATTCTCCACGTCAAAGCTGCAACACAACACAGAGACAATACTTTAATACTAATAATACAATGTTAATAACACAATTACTACATGTTTTCTACTGGTCCTGTGTGGCTCAGTCGGTGCTTGCAACACCAAGGGTTGTGGGTTCAATTCCTGTATGACTGTAAGTTGCTTAGGATAAAAGCGTCTCCTAAATGGGATTTATTATCATTATTACTTTCCACCTACAGGCCAGGTACAGAACACAAGCCTGAGCACCTGCCTGTCCTTGTATGTGCAACTGACTGACACCACAAATTAATATGTTCCTTTGGGAAATAAAAGTTCATCTAAATCTAAAGTTTCAAGATCTTGAGAAAAGTCTAGAGTCTAGACTATAATACGTAGATGGCCTAACATACCCATGACAGAGAGCATGAGCATGGATGACAATCAGGATGATTGGAACGCCAACTATCCATCATTGGTTTCATCAGTCATGGACAGGATAGGGACACATCATGAAACTATAGGCCTAACGGATACAGAAATGACGACATAGATGTTGCTATTCCAATCAGGGTAGGGGTGGAGGAAAAGAAAGAGGGATCTTGACAAATATTTCCCGGGAGAGATATGTTCTGAAAAGTCTCAAGGTTTTCCCAGGCAGCTAGCGGGAGACGAGGGGGAAGATGGGAAAATTAGTGGTGACCTCTGTTACTCCTCACTGCAGGAGGCTCAGCAGAGAGGAGGGTAGAGGTCTTCTGACAGTCTCACAAACACACACGCATGCACGCACATGAAAGACCACCAATCAGAGTTCAGAGAAGATAGAAAATGTAAACACACCATCTGATTCAGGAAACCAGCCTGGGGCCACAGATGCATGTGATCTGGATAGGGCCTGATGAGAGGAGGACACAGTGATGTGTGTGTGCGTGTGTTTGTGTGTGTCAGAAGGCCTGTACTCTCTGTTCTCCACTGAGCTTCCTGTGTGTGTGTGTGTGTGTGTGTGTGCTATATGGCTGATTACATAATTGGCCCGCAGGTCAATGCACTGCTGTATTTCTTTGTTATTAGCTAGATCACGTGTATAGCCGGGCAAGTAGATCTAAAGCTCAGGCAGCCCTAACAGCCTCATCATACAAACTCATCTCACATCTTTGGGTTTGGATCCGAAATTGTACCGATGTTTGCGAATAAGAGGTTTGAAAGTCTAGGTTTGAAATACAATATGTCACCAATTACCATTCCAAAAGGATATACTTATTTTTTTTAAGAACAGGACATGATATGCATTTGAGGAGAAAGCTGAAGTCGTAACCTTTTCACTGATGTAATCAGATATCATTTCTGATTCCCAGTTCGTCCACTAGATCGCAGTAGAAGATCAAATGACGTGACTGTTTTGATGTGGTTTGGGTAGTGACTCACTGTGCAAAAATGGCTGAACGAATGTTCAAGCCTGACATCTTAAAATCAACCTAGCGATCGGGGCTTTCAGGTTATCACGTTCATTTTCTTTTTATAACACACAGTCAGGCGAGGAAACGTAAAACATATTTTCCCACACATTTTTCCCATTGGAAACGAGTGAGATAGATCAATGGTGCATATGTCACATTAAATCTGGATGGAGAAAGAAATGCAATGCATTACAATGACAACCAAGGTGTACTGTTTCCAAGCACACAACATTTTTGCACTTCTGGTGACTTGACCTAAATTGCATACTCTATGAATATGACCATAGCACATTATTTATGGCCTGTAGGGGGGCATTGGGGGTGGCGGGGGCATTTTTATGACATTTCCAGCAGTAAGATTTGAGCTCGATTTCCAAAAAGACAAGCACTGTAACTTTGAAATGATACTGTATGTCACTTTCTATTTTCTGACCGAAATTGACAGAGTGGGTAACACTTAAACTCCACAGACCCGGTACAGGGTCCAAAACAAACGCTCAGAGTTTAACAGAAGATCAAAACACACACCTCAAGGCTGACCTCTGATGAAAACAACAGGACAAGCACACTGCAGGCTGTGCTGGGCCCAATGTTTGCGGTATTAGTGATAAGTAATCTTATGAAAGCATTACATAAGGTTATTGAGGCTAAGGATTTGGAACTATATTGTAGGGCATCTGAAACACTTGGCTTTGACTACCACTACACCCTTATTAAGTAAACAGTAAGCAAAATGTCAACTCTGTTTGGACAGTGTCGGGCAATGAGATCACCTACACTCTAGCTGAGGAACGCTTAACTCTGTTCTCTTATATCAATGCAGAGTTAAGTATTGATAACTGGTCGCATGATTTGCTAACAACATTGAGTCACCATCAGTCGATGCCAATTCTGAAAATGCTTACTTGTACCTATGGTTGTCCTGTACAACTGCGGCCCTTCCACAGGGTTCTGAAATTCATTATTTTAATAAAAACTTGAATTCAAACAAACAATAGCCCAGGCCAATGAAGGGACACACAGATTGTATAATATTAGGATGCAATAAATATGCAATATATTATTTACAGATCTCTGACACAAGGAAAAAGTCGGTGGTTGTATTCGATAAAAGATTGATCTGAATTTGTCACAGAGTAGCCACTCATTTCTGTCATTTGTGTGATATTAAAAAAGATTCAGCTAATGCCTTCTGTCAGGTAAATTACATAGAATAGCATGAAATGCATTTATTTTTATTTTATTTTATGTTGGACCCTGCTAACAAATGTTCCCCATGTGTGGAAATCCTGAAAATGCCTATGCCACATCGCAAATGTTATTATGGCCTTATTAAAAAGGGGGGGGGGGGGGGGGGGGCTTGCCAACGTCCCATGACATGTAGACTACAAAGGCCCCTTCACTAAGCCTTTACTTCCTATCCACAGCATCACTGGAATGTGCACATTGTATAGGACCCTCCCTACTCACAGTTACAGTGGGGAAAAAAAGTATTTAGTCAGCCACCAATTGTGCAAGTTCTCCCACTTAAAAAGATGAGAGAGGCCTGTAATTTTCATCATAGGTACACGTCAACTATGACAGACAAAATGAGGAAAAAAAATCCAGAAAATCTTTGTAGGAAAAATTGTAGGATTTTTTATGAATTTATTTGCAAATTATGGTGGAAAATAAGTATTTGGTCAATAACAAAAGTTTCTCAATACTTTGTTATATACCCTTTGTTGGCAATGACACAGGTCAAACGTTTTCTGTAAGTCTTCACAAGGTTTTCACACACTGTTGCTGGTATTTTGGCCCATTCCTCCATGCAGATCTCCTCTAGAGCAGTGATGTTTTGGGGCTGTCGCTGGGCAACACGGACTTTCAACTCCCTCCAAAGATTTTCTATGGGGTTGAGATCTGGAGACTGGCTAGGCCACTCCAGGATCTTGAAATGCTTCTTACGAAGCCACTCGTTCGTTGCCCGGGCGGTGTGTTTGGGATCATTGTCATGCTGAAAGACCCAGCCACGTTTCATCTTCAATGCCCTTGCTGATGGAAGGAGGTTTTCACTCAAAATCTCACGATACATGGCCCCATTCATTATTTCCTTTACACGGATCAGTTGTCCTGGTCCCTTTGCAGAAAAACAGCCCCAAAGCATGATGTTTCCACCCCCATGCTTCACAGTAGGTATGGTGTTCTTTGGATGCAACTCAGCATTCTTTGTCCTCCAAACACGACGAGTTGAGTTTTTACCAAAAAGTTCTATTTTGGTTTCATCTGACCATATGACATTCTCCCAATCCTCTTCTGGATCATCCAAATGCACTCTAGCAAACTTCAGATGGGCCTGGACATGTACTGGCTTAAGCAGGGGGACACGTCTTGCACTGCAGGATTTGAGTCCCTGGCAGCGTAGTGTGTTACTGATGGTAGGCTTTGTTACTTTGGCCTCAGCTCTCTGCAGGTCATTCACTAGGTCCCCCCGTGTGGTTCTGGGATTTTTGCTCACCGTTCTTGTGATAATTTTGACCCCACGGGGTGAGATCTTGCGTGGAGCCCCAGATCGAGGGAGATTATCAGTGGTCTTGTATGTCTTCCATTTCCTAATAATTGCTCCCACAGTTGATTTCTTCAAACCAAGCTGCTTACCTATTGCAGATTCAGTCTTCCCAGCCTGGTGCAGGTCTACAATTTAGTTTCTGGTGTCCTTTGACAGCTCTTTGGTCTTGGCCATAGTGGAGTTTGGAGTGTGACTGTTTGAGGTTGTGGACAGGTGTCTTTTATACTGATAACAAGTTCAAACAGGTGCCATTAATACAGGTAACGAGTGGAGGACAGAGGAGCCTCTTAAAGAAGAAGTTACAGGTCTGTGAGAGCCAGAAATCTTGCTTGTTTGTAGGTGACCAAATACTTATTTTCCACCATAATTTGCAAATAAATTCATTAAAAATCCTACAATGTGATTTTCTGTAATTTCTTTTCTCAATTTGTCTGTCATAGTTGACGTGTACCTATGATGAAAATTACAGGCCTCTCTCATCTTTTTAAGTGGGAGAACTTGCACAATTGGTGGCTGACTAAATACTTTTTTCCCCCACTGTACATACATACATCTCTTCTCTACATCAAAGCTAGAACATATATAATTAAGCCTGCACTATTACCCCAAAATATCAGTCCAATATGGACACCAGATTGATTGAGTCATAAATCTGCCTGAACACAACAAAGTGTGGAGAATCTTTTACAGAAAGAGAGAAAGAGAGAGAGAGAGAGAGAGAGAGAGAGAGAGAGAGAGAGAGAGAGAGAGAGAGAGAGAGAGAGAGAGAGAGAGAGAGAGGGGGAGAGAGAGAGAGAGTCCGAAAGAAACAGCGAAAGAGAGAGAACGTTTTGTACCATTTCCTCCATCCATCATTCCCACTAGTTCCAAAGATTCCTGTTTTCTGACTATAGAGATAGAAGCAGGAACTATTTATCAAACATGTTGGCTGATATACACAAGCAAAAGCAAAATCCCTTATTTCTGGGATTAAATTATGAGCTTTGAGGAATTAAGGGGTCAGGATTACACCACAACCAGGAAGCCTG